AGATTAGATTTTTGTTTTCCCGGTTGAGTACTTACTTGAATGTGTTACACCTAGTGAATTCATCCAGTGTTTGGTTATTTCTTTCTCTATAAAGCCGAAGGTCGTGGGTTCGAATCCCGCTCGTGGCACTAGTTTTTTCATTTCAACAAAACCCTTCCAAAAAAAGATTAATTCATTGAAAGAAGTAATTTGGTCAATCAGACCACTGAATATAATGGATATCTCTAAAAAGTTGTCCAATTCCGCTTTTAGCATGCTTTTGGGCAGTTCAGGTCCAAAGTGTAGGCAGGCTGCTTCTTTTTTACTAGTTTGTTAGTTTGTTCGTTGTTGACCCCTTTCGTCCTTCATCAGATTTACCTGATTGCTTTTTCCCAAGAGTTGGAGATATATTAGGTATTCCCAAACCAGTTTTTAATTAAAGGTGGAGGAGTCTTCAGCCTACAGTGTTTCTTGTTTGTCTAAGAATATGTACATCTGTGCATCTTTTACTCTCTTTTTTAGTATTTCGTGTGCACACAGTTCTATCGCATGGATTTCATCTATCTGGATGGGTATAAAAAGAAACTCAAAGTTTTCCGTGGTTGAAAATTTATTCCAATTTTTTTGAATTATATTGGCCTTTCGGGCTCAATGGCCCATCATCAGCACTAAACATAGAGATTTTTTTTATTTTATAATTATCAGTTAGAAAGCACATATATCTATGATTAATAAAGTAAGATGGATTTCATCGTGAAAAATTGATAGTATTGCACCTAGAAATTGACCAAGGTCAAAATTCGGGCTTTTGAGTCATGCCCCAATCCAATCCATGTTGCATTTTAGAACCATCTGTACATCCGTTTTCCCAGAGTTGTCATGTTAGGCATTAGAAGACAAGGTTTGAATTGAAGGTGGAACGGTTTATGGCCGTTGCGCTGCTCGGCTGTCTGAAAATATGTCTGTGCACCTCTTAATCTTTTTAGAGTATTTACTTTGCATTTTTTTTCAATTGGATGGAACTTAGCTCGTAAAATCGATGGTGCTGGATCCAAGGCTTTACTAGTTTCAAATTTCACTGTTGATACCTGTTCGCCTCAACTCCAAGTACAATTTTATCGTAGATCAATCTGTATTCCAGAAAATGCATAAATATTTCAATTTAAAAAGTTTCCATTTGCTAAAAAAACCTTCAAATTATTTATTACCGTACCAAGTTTTATTAAATAAAATAATAAATGTTTGTATAGCCAAACTGTTAACCAATGTTTACTCGTATGGATATACATTAGAGAAATATAATGTACAGTTAATGGGCCTGATACGGTTTTAGTTATGGCTGATTATTTATTTCTTCATTAAAGTGCTTTATGGAAAACGTACCATCAAAATTATGTAGTTAAATTAAAACCATTTTTATGTGATTCAACAAGCGTTATTAGAAAAAGAAATTATTTTAGCTTTTGAACATTCAGAACAATTAAGAAAAGTTGTAAAATTTGCTGATTGTAAAATATTGTATTCTTTGATACGGTGCGGTGTAAAGCCTCGCTTATTCCGGAAGAGTAATCCAATTATCTTCCGTTTACAGCAGCGTTAGAACTATGGAAATCAAGGATCGTTAAAAATAATCCATCGCAACGTTTCAGAAATGATGAAAAGACATCTCTTTTCGGGCAGGAAATTAAAACAAAAATGACTTTTCTCTCAAAATTCTCTTTTCTTCGACAACTTTCGCAGACATTACAACTGAAAAAGCCACCCGACGGACGAACCGTGCAAACTTGAATTGGAGAAATATCGAGAACAAAATGTCTTACGAATTTTCGACAAAATGAAAGGCGAAGACGGCTTGTCTTTTTAAACTGAGTTTTCCCCCAGTGGACACCAGAAAGAGAGTGGTACAAAAAGTCCAGCCCTCATATCTTGTAAATTATGGAAGTTCCTCCAAGTTGGAACAATGCGTTTCCAGGTCAAACTGGTCCCGGGATTTATTTAGCATTAGAACTCGGAATCCATTTGGAAGTATCGTATAATTCAGCCGATAGGGAAACAGGTCACGGAAGTGACTCTTAAAGCATTAAAGCTTTCATTAAACCCCCTTGAGGGACAAGTTCTAAAACTTTTCTCCCACGCCTTTCGAAAACTTTAAAATCCGACTTGTAACTCAAATGAATGAATAAATAAATAAAATCTTCTCTTTATTGGTGTTAATACCCACTAAAAGGGATAAAGTAATTCTAACAGAATATTTTTCAAAAGGAATTTTATACATCCCGTGCAATTAGAATAATTAAATTATGTACTTAACGTATGCATCAATAGACATCATTAAAAATAAAATATAAAAGTGAATAAATTTTCATTCAATGAAATTAAAAATGTTAAATTCTTGCAATTGCCCTATGACATTAATGTGTGACGATGTGCTTTCCAGAATGCTTTTAAACACATCAAAGACCGTTTAAAAAATAACAATTTATTAGTTTTAATAGCAAAAACATACCTGAATTGTATTAAATAATTAAACATAAATTTATCACTGATTCATTTCTGCCTACATAACAAACTTAATCCCTTTATCACAGTCTGCTTTAACACGATCGGTGATTTCCCTCAAGGGTACATTCTCGGTCTCATGCTTTCTAGTTATTTGTTGAGCATAAAATAAATTTTTCGGAGGAACTAAATGGTTAAATGGTAAAGACTAAAGTAGAAGACAATAAAAATAAAATATAAAAGTGAATACACGATAAATTATATAATAAAATCGTTGGAATTTCCCTATGGTTTATTTATGTTGAAGACAAAGGCAGTTTAGAAGAAAAACCAATTTTATTTTTACGCACGTCTAGGTTTAATAAACTTACTTATTTCAACACGGAAAGGCAATTTATAACTTTATTTTTATAGTTGTTACGTTAAAATCTAAATTTATTTTGAATCACAGTTGAGCAAGTACACACAAACACACACATGCACCCGCATACAGTTTTTATTAATGAAAAAAGGATATTTGATGGAAATGATAATTTCCTCTGTACGAAATGTTTCTAGCATGGTAAAACATGATTTTTTAAACGGAAGCATGGTTAAACACACCAGAAGAAATATTAGTATCGCTATTCCAAAATATTTTATTATTTACTTTTCTGTCAAATTTTACACAGCTAGAGAGAAAAAGTTTATTTCATTCGAATTTGTTCATTGTCAGTGTAAACAAACAACATGCATACTGACTCGTCAAATTGTTATAACCAGTTATTCTAATAACCCACTTCGTTTGGAATAAGTGTATTTTAAATCCAGTTTTTGTATCAATTAAACCGATGTTATATAATTAATTATTTACCTTTTACTATCGTTCTATCGCAGTTAAAGTAGTTATCATAAAATAATCTTCAAGACAATTTTATTTTATCTTATAATAAAATTAGTGTATTACATTGATCTAAAGATTGGTTACTGGCGTGGTATCACCAATTTTAATGAAATATTTTTGTTAAAACTAGGTCAAAAAGTAATATATGAAAAATTGACTAGCATATAAAGAGTGAGTTTAACTTCTACCTATTTTTGGGGAAAATGACCCAAGTCACGTAATCTTTTTTTTTAATTTTGTCATTTTCTCATGAATAAATGTTTTGATTAACTTTCCAAGTGAGGGCTTGACCAATTCAAATGACTTCTCGTCATTGCACATTTTTAAAACGATTTTTACCGTTGAATTCAATGCAAACGGGTTTAATTTGGAGTTTCGAGTTATTTGCAAAAATCTATGTACCCTAGTGTCAATAAAATTTTTTTATTGTTACGACTTGTAGATCAACGTTTTATTGCAGGCCGGCGTTGAGATTTTTGAATAATTAATTGAATGTTTGACAGCAATTGGCACATGTGATCAAGCCTGATTTCACCTGCTTAACTAAATCATCAATCAGGAAACAATTTGATTAAGCGTGAAATTATATTTCCTCGGTCGAAATCACAAAGCCAAACGCCTGCCTTCAATATCTACCGTCCCTGCAACGAATTTTCAACGCACAAAATATACCCCTGGCCGGAAAAAAAGTTTCTAACTTTTTGTCACAAGGGAGACGGGTAATCGGTCCTTAATACAGAGTAATACTATAAATCATTCGGTAGGAGATTTTTTTAACTTTTCCAACAGCCGGATGGACCCAGTCCCAATAGACGATAGAAGTGAGCAAGATCCAAGGCTACTTTTCACAATCCACTAAATACGTCAAAAAGATCAAGAAATACCGTTCACCAACTTGATCACTTAATAACCCTGTGACTGAACTGGGGAAAATAAACCTTTAGTTCAGTGGTGGTCGGCAAACCGCGGTTCGCGAGTCGCAGGCGCGTCTTTGACTTCTTGGCTGCGGCTCTTTCACGAAATGTTTAGTGGAGACACGAAGCGAAAAGTACGACAGGTGCAAGAAAAGGGATTGTCGCTATTTTAAAGAAAAAATTAATCACGAGATACTTACTTACCATTGTATTATTCATAAGGAAGCACTATGTGTGCAGACATTTCCTGAAAAAATTTGCAAAGTAATAGTATTGGTGATTAAGATTATCAATTCCAATGTAGCGAAAGCTCTTTACCATCGCCAATTTAAAAAAATTGTTAATTGAGGTAGAGAGTGAGTATGCAGATCTTCTGCTGCATAACAAGTTTCGTTGGTTATCGAGATGAAACGTTTTAAAACGTTTCGCTTCACCGTTTACTGAAATAAAACATTTCTTCTTGAGAAGAGTGCAGAGCTATCGAACGATCTGAGGATCGAGAAATTTTATTTCATGGTCGACGTTACTTCTCATGTAAATCAGCTTAATCGCAAGTTACAAGGGAAAGGAAACACAATTTTTTCGATGTTAGAAGAAGTAATTACATTTGAAAACAAATTGTTGATATTTGTCGAAAATTTTGAAAGAGAAACTCTAATTCACTTTCCATGACTATTGAAATATTGTCGAGAAAATAAGTCTAATATTGACATTTGCTATTTCAGAACAACACTGTTAAATATGAAGGAATCTTTTCTCAGCAGGCTCAAAGACTAGAAACAACAAAGCTACGTTAGCCTTTGTTATAAAACCTCTTAATGCCACGGTAAGAAAAATTAATTTTTCGCCTTTTAATATTGCTATTGGCAGCTTTGAAATGCAGTTGCTGGATTTAAAAAATAAAGAATTTTGGAGCTCAAAATTCGAGCGTCTTTATGCCGATATACAGCTATTGGAGAAAAATACATGTGAATTAAGTTTACAGCACAAGTGGTCTGCTTTGAAAGATCTGGAGAGGGAAGATATGCTGATTTTTAAATAATCTGGGATTGTATTCCTGGCGCATATGATCACGTGAAGAAACTAAAGTTTGCTGTTCTTTCCTTATTAGGGTTTACATATTTACGCAAAAAATAATTTTCAAGCATGAATTTTATCAAGAGTAGATCAAGAAATCGCTTATCGATGAGAACTTGGAATCGTGCCTAAAATTAAAAACAACATACCTGACTTACCATTACTTTTCAAGGAAATGCATGGCCATTGTTCACATTAGTTGAGTATTTGTAGTTTTTTTAAGGATACCTTTTTATATATTTAAATAAATATTATCTTTATAGAAAAATGATGCGAAGTTTTATTTAATGTACCGTTAGTTAAACTAAGACATATTCAGAAAAAGCAAGCTCAAGAGTGTACTTTTAATTTTAATTATATCCATAAAAATGTCTCTACTAAAGCAAAGCTTAAGTTTAAAAAAATGGCTCTTTGAATAAACTTCAATTTCGTATTGTTTATATTTGGCTCTTAAGGATGACTAGTTTGCCGACTACTGCTTTAGTATATATTGTAAGTGGCCTAATATATTTTCCTCACAAAATATTCAGACTGCTTTGTCATTCGCGAACTATACTTTCTTTTTCGAGTTTACGTGTATAATCACGTTTAATTCTAAAATTACATCATAGGTGAAGGAAATTTTTTTCTCGAAAGATTTGTACAGATTGTGTATAATCAAAATAGTTGCATCGTTTTTAATTAAGATGATAAGGCGTGACTCAAGCCGAGAAAATAATTAGGGACGCGTTGGTTTATAACCCACTTGAAAATAGGGTTTAAACATTGATTTAACCAAGTTTCTAATGCAGTTTTCAACTAAGTAAATGTGATGTTCCGCGTTAATTATAAAGGGTCAGGGGTCATTTGGTTGGAAATAATTACTGGAATTTAATCCTCCGGTGTTTGAAATTTTCCTTTTGGCGGCCGATTTTCACACTCCGCTTTTAAATGGGAATGGCATAAAATTGCACACAGGCCTAAACAAATAAAAGAACTTGTGAAAAAAAGAATTTCAGAAAACTACCCGATTTATAAAAGTCGTAAACCGTTTTACAAGCTTTTCGAATGGGCAATTATTCTTCGTTTCACTGGGTTAATGTTGTTTCTTGCTTTTGTTTTCTCTTTTTATCCCCGTAAGGCATTTATTAGGGTTATTACTTATTTCGTGTATACAAGTTTTTTTTTAATGCATTCAAGATAGAGGTGTTGTGTTAAGAAGAAATTCTAAAATATCCTGTATTTTAAACATACTGTTACTTATACTAAAATCCAAAATTAAACTTTGCAATTCAACTAAAAGTTTTGATAATTTATTTTTGTTAATAATATAGAGGCGTTGTGTTCAGAGGAAATTTGAAAGATACGATATTTTAAGCTACTGACAAAGAAAGCCTTTGAAAAAAAATCGCGCTAAGTACCCTTAAAAGCTGTTCAAACAAATTTTTATAGCAAACGAAAAATAGACATTTTATGGCTGGATCAGCCGAGTATATTTTTTCCGATTTCCCGTGTTCCACTTTAAAATTCATAACCCCTCGGGGATTTAATCCAACAACGTTATTACAACAGTGAAAAAGCTGCATTTCTCTTCTGGGAGCCTATGTCAACAAGCTTTTGAGAAAGATAAGAAGGAAATCAACAAAAATCCCAAAACGTTTTATTTTTATCTCCGGTCTGATTTATTTAGTAACAATTTATTATTTATTTAAGGAAAAATCACAATCAACATTTTTTTCATATACTACCCCAGTTTTTTGCTTCATATTCTAATACTCTAGAAATTAATTTCTCCTGAGAAAAAAAATGTTATTTTTTATCCAAATCGGTTAAGGATTTCTATAGATACAATTATTGTAATATAGTATGGGTTTTTTTTTTTTGAGAACGGGGTTTTATATTTTGGCCTACTGTCGATGTTTGGTTGTCTGTTGTAAGCAAAAAATAGAGAAAACAAAAATCCCAAAACGTTCATTTTTTTTAATCTCCGGTCTGATTTATTTAATAACAATTTATTATTTATTTAAGTAAAAATCACAATCAACATTTNATATATATACCCCCTGTTTATTTTTCTCCATATTATAATACTCTAGAAAATAATTTCTCTTGAGAAAAAAGATGTGATTTTTTATCCAAATCGGTTAAGGGTTTCTATAGATACAATTATTTTAAAATAAGTAGTACAAAGTTTTTTTTCCAGAATGGCGTTTTATATTTTGGCTTACTGTTCATGTTTGGTTGGCAAAAGATCCAGATTACTTATTTATACAACAATGAATTACTCAATAGGTAGAATTTCAGGTAGGCGCAAGATAACTCGTGAACTTTTGAAAATAACAAGACAAATTGTCCAGTAAAATATCGTCAAGTCGTTACAAAGTTATAACCATTTTCGGTTTTTCGAAAAAACCCTGATTTTTTTAACCAACTTTGGCTTCCTTAAATAAATTATAACCGGAGATATAAAATAAACCGTTTAAGAAATTATTATTCATTTCATATTCCTTTTTATTTTACAAAAATTTAAATAGAAATCAACGTTTGTTGATAAAAACTGACAAAAGAAATATTACGCTTTCTACCGGATGTTATAATAAAATCCAGAGGTGTTAGAAATTTTTAAGAAAATACAGAACAAGAAAACTACCCCGGTGAATCCAGCCAAATGTCTTTTTTATTGCAATAAAAATTTATTGTTATAAATAAAAATAATGGGGCACTTAAATTGTCTGCTTTAGTGGAAGCGTTTTTCGGTACTTTATCTCTTTTAATCAGATAGTGCTTATTATTTTCTTAATTTATTGTTAACAACCACCAGCTAAAAAATGTCCATTTTTTATTTTAGTTTTTAGGTACTTAAAACAAATGCAAATTATTTTTTCAATAAAATATTTTTTGGTATATATTACTACTAGAGATACTATTTTTGTATTTGTAACTACTTGAACATCCTATCTAATTTTATACAATGTTACATACTATGTTTAAAAACATGTAAGTTACTTTTACAAATAATTTTGTTGGCCGCAACCGTTTAGGGATTGACATGGTGCTCATCACTTTAAGGTAAAAGTCTGAGGTTCGAATCCTGCGGCTTTGCATTCGAATCCGACATACTTATAAACGGGCTTTTTCTCAAAGCTATCAGCATCCATAACATAAGGCTGTTTTTTGTTTTTTTTAAGATCTTTTTTTTTATTTTTTAGTAAAATAGCTTAAATATAAGCACAACATTGAAGTTGCTTGAATGAGGTTGTTCCACTTTTAATATTTAAGAATTATCCTTTTTTGTTGATAATGAATTTTTTTAACAAAAATGAATTTCTCGGCTCCTGGGAGTGAACTGACCTCCATACTTCTCCTTGTTAGATCTATGTAAAAGAAACATTTCAAACATAGTAATTATGAGAAAATTTTTTTCTTGAATTTATTTTATACTTGACTTTTTTTTAACGAGAGTCGTTTGTAAAAAACATTATAATAATGTAGTAATTGATAAAAAACTGGATTTAAAATAAAATATTCATACAACGCATTTCTTTTTCTCTTTCATTATTTGGTAGCCTCAAGGAGTGTAGGGAAGCCTCCGCCCACTCTTTTTCCTTCCCATTGTTTCGAATATAAATAAAACATGTCTTTGAAATAAAAGGCTTTTTTTGTTTTGAAAAACAAATATCACGACACTTATACAACACCTTTATTGTCCGGAAACAGCACCAGGTGAAAGTCCCCTAAGTAACTCTCGCATGTAAGTTTAACTTTGCTTTTAAAGTCTGTTTACAGGGTAGCAAAAAGTCCTACTAATTCGAAGAAGAAACCTTTTATTCTGACTTTTTTGACGGCTGTACCGCTGTCTTGACAGACTCGTGGTTTAATTCTACTTCATTCATATAATAATCAATCTGGTGTTAAAATTCAGTGTAGAATTTACAGAGAGAATTTTCAAGCATAAGTTTACAAATTTGTCAAGCAAAGTAAGACCAAAGCCGTTTTGAAGCTTGTTTTATAATATTTCATGAATCTACTTTAAGCTTAATTACTATAATTGTTCATTAAAAATTATACAGAGCTCTCTGTAATTAACGATTTTAAAAATTGTGTATTTTTTGCAAAACTTTTTATATGTAATTTTCACTGCATAATTGATGCCCTATTTTTCATATTGACCTGTACTTCTTTAAACAAATTTTGATATAATTAAAACAATAAGTCGAGAATGATAATTTTATAACGAAAAAAAAGTTATTTTGTAAAAAACATTTTGTTCGTCTGATTTGGAGGTAGATTAAGACTCTAACGACTAACTTTTTATTGAAAAAGTCATTGCAATGAGCAAAAACCATCATAAAGCCATAGCAGAATTCATTATTTACAGTATAGGCATGGATAAAACTATATGATTTGATTTGATATATTTGTAATAACATAGAACATATTCTTCCAAGTTTCAGGGGAAGTGGCGGGGTACTATTACATCCCGTTACAATAATTGATCTATTTGATCCCTAGTCTAAATATAGAGGTTTTAACAATATTGTGCTCGTGGAAAATTACAAAAAAAACAACAAAAATAGGTGCCTCGTAGCCACCTTCCTTTTATTAATGATTTCATTTACGTGACTAGAGAAATTGAGCTTGCTGTCCAAAATGACGCCTATGTCTTTGATTTTTCATCCCATGGAATTTGCAAGCTGTTACATATACATGGAGTCTAAAGATAGGGCGACTCCTGGTAAAAAGTATGAACTCAGTTTTGGGGAAATTTTGAGTTTCCACCGGTTATAGAAACAGGACACCCTATTTGCAGCTTCAATTAAAAATATAAAAATTATATTTATATTAAATATTTAATCTTCTTGATATCAAATTTGAACTTTTCCAGAAGCGAAGTTTCTCCAGTGCATAATAATAATAAGTGGGAAGTTTATGGGCCAACAAACAGCTGAGGTCATCGCCGGCCATCTACGTGTTTTCCATCTTTTTCTTTCCTTTCGCGCATATTTTGTTTTAAACTGCAGCCATTTGAGCATCTCGATCTGGTTACTGACTCTCTGATTTCAGATATATACTACGTTGATATTCTAGAATGNCGCCCTGTCTGCTTCTTCGTTCCCGGCTATCCCTATGTGGCCGGGAACCCATGCCAACACGACCTTCTTCCCAACTGCATCGATCCCTTTTAACTGTTCTTTTATCTTGTTTATTAAGGGGTCCACGGAGGCTCTTCTCCTGAGCTTCTGGACCGCACTGAGCGAATCGGTACATAACAAAAAAGAGTTGTCGTTTTTATTTTTTATCATGCTCAGTGCGAGGGATATGGCGTTTAGTTTCCAGTTATTATACTAATATTTATTTATTATACTAATAAATAACTACCAGTGCATATTATTTTCAAATAGTTTTTTCAGACTTAACGCCACTGTTGAATTTTAAAATAATTGAATCAACTTCTTGCCGTTGTTTAAAATTTTACGTGGATCTATTAAAGCACTTTCATTGAGTAAATATGGTATACACTGTTTTCGTAATGGGTTGTGAAACCCCCAGGCTGAAACAATATCCGGACTGAACGCTTCGACACGTTCTAACACGTGTTCCCTCATTGGAAGATAATCCAATTTAGAACGTTTGTAATTTGGTCAATTTGATCTGGCCAAGAGTTCTCATTTATAGACGTTGCCGTTACACATTGGATTGTATTTCTTCACGGGGCCTTTCGAATCCTCAAGCCCAGAAAGCAATGTGAGTAATCCTAAATTGAAACCCAAGTGTACTAGATGCCAAACCATTCATCCTTATTTTCCTGACGTTTCCTAGCTCTACGAGATCACTGTGATATTTTAAAAACCCAGAGAGTTAAATCAATTTTATAAAAACATATAAACACTTTTTGTAAATTGATTAATAAATTGTTAACATTTAAATGACTAGTATGCTCAATACAGCAGCAGTATGGTTTTAAACGGAAAATAACTGTAATATTTTTCCAACACAATTGACTTTAATGTTAAAATGATAATAATATTAATATTCAGAATATTGTAATTTAAGCAGCTACTAATGGAAAGACCCAGAAAGGGTTAAAGAGACTAAACCGTTAGAATTGCTTATTAACAACCCATTGCTAATAACGGGGCTTGAATTTCCTTCATACTTTACATTCAAGATAAAAGGTTTTTCTGATATAAGCGGAATAATAAACTGCACTTTACTTTTTAAGTAACTCCCCCCCTCCCCCCAATATATATAATATTTCGAAAAGACAAGACGACAAGACAGTCCGTGAGTAAATTGAAATAACGACTAAATTATTACAGTAATGTATCAAGTGTATGTCGATTACTTCCTCGAAGCGTTTCGCTTAGCTGATGGCGGCGGTTTAAGGGTTGCGGTTGAAATCCGTTGCAATTAATCTTTTATGTGCTTAATAACTCGGCTGCTTGAAAAAGAGTTGAACTATTATTAATAATCAATAAGATGAATTATAATCTTAGGAAAAGTTGAAAAAATATCAAGATAAAAAAAACATCACAAAAACACTGGTAAAAGAAACCCTTTATGCATTCATATAATTTTATTCTTGCAATAAATGAACAAACATCACAAAATGTATTATGATAGATATCAAAAACGAAAACAACATAAAGAATCCTAATACAAGGTCTTTCAGTTGTTTATTAATTAATTTAAAAAAAATATGAATAGAAGATAGAAAAACATTATTACACAACATTATCTCAGTCGATTAGGTTAATATTAATTGAATAATGAAAAACTAATGATGTGTACTCTGATTTGAACTATGCAGTTTGAAGGTTTCTGTTTTTATCTGTAGTTTTAAACCAGGTTTATTATTATATTCTTATCAGTAAAATTGAAGGTTGAACTAGGTGGATCTTATGCTGGCAATGGCTCCACGCGGTTAGATACCAGGAAAAATCTAAGAGTACTTCAAGGAAGCATACTAGGTCCACTGTTGTTTTTGCTCTATTTTAACGACCTGCCTTCATACTTCAGTGCCTCCATAACTTCATAGGTAATGATGATGACTCCAATGTCCTAGCTCATTATCTCAAATATTTGATAGACGAAGCGAATGATTTCTTTAAGAAAGATTAACTTGAATCATTCTAAATTGTCGTGTGTAATCTTCAAAAGGACAAAAACTCCCAAAAGCTTGGAAATTCCTTCTTCACTGTTCTGGCTGGGCAATTAGCAATTGTAGACCACACGAGTTTTTGGGTGTGTAACATCACTATAGGCTTCGTTTTGACTGTTAAACATGTGAGAATATATGGGGTGTACCTGCAAAATATAAAACAGCGCAGGAGTAATTATGACGAACATGCAACACCATTGAGGATATGGAACACGATGGCTTGCTCTAGATATGGCGAGAAGAGAAAAATTTTGCTGGACAGAATACATTTTATAGTAAACTATAAACCTTGCTTTTTATTAAGTAGAAATTTGTAAATGTCTATTACACTTTGTTTATCGCTGCGGGATAATGGTATAGGATAGAAAGGGGTATCCGAGGTTGGTATTGGGTGTGTGTTCTGAGGATGTCGGGTCCTCGGAGCGGAGCAGTACGCCTCAAAACGGTCGTGGGTTCGATTCCCACCGTCGCTCCTTGAAATTCTTACTCTTCCGCACCAAGCAATTTTACATTCATCAACGTACTCTACCTGACATGAAATATCATAAGGTCTTCAAAACTGAAAATTCATTATTTATTAAATAGTAATTTAAAAATGGAAGAAAGTTGAGCAAGAAGTTCCAACTGTCTACACTCTACCAACTATGCTGTAAGACATTTCACATTAGCATTAATATTTATTTATCGTAAACTGTTGTCTTGTTCGTCATTTGTATATTTCCATGACTACTATGGAAGCACAAGGTAAAAAATGAAATAAAATCAATAATAAAAAAACACACCAGGTATTTAAAGAATATCTATAACTTGCTTCTTGAACTAGATCCTTATGATGTGGCGTCATTTAATTAATTTTAGTAACAACTATTAATTTTTAAGCACTATGTACACTCACATATATTTAATATATTGCACTACACTTTTTTTACGTTTAAATAAAGTGGTTTGATTTGATTTGAATAATAATAAACAAAGACAATCTCTTCAATATTTTGATTATTTATAAATAACATCAATATTTTTCTATATCTATAGTTTATATACAAGTTTCACATGCTTTCATTTTGTTTATCTATACATTAATCAGTGTGTGTGTATGTATTTTTTATCTACTTATTTTATTGACATGTATCTAAGTGTATATTCCTATTGATGTTTCTCTTTCTATTAAAAAAATTAAATCATCAGTCAACAAAATCATATTAAAATTGCATTAAATTTTTTTTCAGTAGTGTGCTTTGCTGGCATATTTTTGAATAATTCTCTCTATCCCAGCAAAGTAAAAAAAAATACATTCACCGTACAATATTTTCAACCAAATATTCCTAGTATAGATTATTTCAACTGTTGTTTTACTTAAAGAGTTTAAAAAGGAAAATTTTTGTTTGTTTCAGAGTCTGAAACAAATGAGGCTGACGTGGGAAAGACAGCAGTAAGTAAATTGGCCTCAAAGTTAACTTTTGTCTTTGAAGAATACGGAGCAATCTATCCCCAGTCGTTTTCTAAACAAATTAAAATCGTTAACCACAAATAAGTAGCTTTTAGAACTAGTCTTTAAATAGTGAAAAGAATACTCAATCTATGCATGATGTTCTCTATAAAGAATTAACTATGATAAGGTTTCTGTACATAAAAAATGGCATCTAGTGTGAAAAAATGCATGAAATAAATGTTATATGTAACCACAAATATTGCCACAATCGTCTTATTTTTAGTTTTTTGGTGGTGAGGGGGTGAGCAATTTCTAACCCCTCCCCACCCACAAAATATTGTTCATTCATCAGCATACTCTACCTAACATGAAGAATTATAAAACCATCAAAAATGAAAATTCTTTATTTATTGTGTTTTAATTAAAAAAAAAAAAAAAATAGGAATGTTGGGTAAGAAGTTCAACCGTCTACACCAGCTATGGTTTAAGACGTTTCACATTAGCATAAATATTTATTTACCTTAAACTGTTGTCTTTCGTTGGCAATACAGTTTCCTTTGCTGAATTTCATAACATTTGCCCGTCAAGTAAGCTCGGACCTGCTGGAATGCGATATGCGGACTGAGCAGAAGGCCTCGTCCAATTACCTCCCGGAATAAGGCAAGCCTTTCTACCAAACGCCTTATTCTTTTGTTATCGCAGCAAGGAAATCGACTGACTTTTCCTAATTGGTTTGCTTTGAACAAGAAATAAGATTCCACCCTTTCGTTCCTTCCATTTTTTGTCCCAGCGGGGATAATTAAAGCGTTTTCAAGTTTTTTTATCTGGCAGGCCTCGAGGGCCGAACAAATTAATTTATTATTTATGTCAAGAATAGAAGTATTGCGGCGAGTTTAACAACCACAGACTAACATTGGAATATTTCTTTTCTTAATCGTCAAAATTAATTCTTCAACACTTGTAGAAATTTTTTTTATTGCCAAAACCTGCTTTTGATTATTCACGTTTCTCAGACATTTTTAGACTGTAAGCTTTTAAATTATTGTATAAATACACTTTTTTTTTTTAGATATTTTAAATGCACATAAATTAAATAAGGTGAAGGATCTCCCAATCGTTTACTTATTTTCTCCTTTTTTAACCTACTTATTTACGATTATTTATTTAACCATTTATTTCATTTTTCAGGGTAAATAATTTCACTGGTTAATTTCGGACTCAATTGTAAAATAATGTTACATGTAGATATGAAGTTGAAGCATGATGTAATTCCTTTCAAAGCCTTCTTTGTAAAGAATACTGCGTGTGTTCAATAGAAGGATTTATTTAAAGGGGGTGAACGTGTTACGCTGTTAAGTCTCACAGTGATTACTGAACAAATTTATAACGCGGGGTTGTTCATTAGCGCAAAAAACCATAAACTATGAGAAGAAAAGTTATTAATGTCATTATTTTTGATATGTTTTGCAAACGTATACTGTAATGTTTTCATGGATTTGGAGGGCTTTACTTGCTTAAACTTATTCAAATGTGCAATTTTTCGATTTATACGTAAAAAATCGATCGTTTACGCCTATTTGCCAAATTTTGTTCCAGTAATTGAACTGAAAATTGTACAATTTTTGACCTCTGATTTCTGGTAATGTTGAGTTGAAAGCAATTGCCCAAGAGTGTTCAAGTGAGCGTGGCTAAGTTGGATGATTGCTGGTCGAGAATGGCGAAAGTTTGATTTGTCGTAATTGCTTCTTTTTTATTTACTGTAAATATAATACAAATAACAAAATATAATAATATATATAATAAAATGTAATAATAATTTTAATATAAAATACTTTTTTTTCCAATTCAACGGTTTAGTGAAATTCAGATCCAGGAAAGTAAGCTCTTTACACACAGGACTATTAAATTTTGACTTTACACACTTGAGAATCCAAGCATAAAATTTGTCTTATAAAAATTACCATTTCATTTAATAAGTTAAACAATTTAGATCATTCTAGTATTTTTATAATATTAATAAATGATTCGTAATAATAATTCTGCTCGGTTCAATTAACGTATTACAAACATTTTTTTTATTATTCCACCAAGTACAGAAGTTAGCGAAATCGAATTCCGAGAAAAAAAATTGGCGCTCACCCTGCAAATTTGAGTTCATCCCAGTACAGACACGGCTCGCAAGAAAATTAAATGCAAATCACACTTGTTAGCATAATTTCGCCTGTTTACGCCGTTTACGGTCGTTCAGGATTTGCATGTTTGCTTTCCCACCCGGCTGCCGGCTTTAAGTACGTCTTGGACTTAAACCACACGATTCATCCTTTTGGCGTTCTAATCAACCAATTTCCACTTTTATATTTAAAACTGTTTGAGTTGGTCTTAGCGAACAGGTGGTTGAAAGTGATCAATTATTTTGCCCGGTGAGACCTGTGAGCTCGATAGAAACCAAACTGTAGGTGTTGCTTACTTGTTAACCCATTGGTCTAAAATACTTTATCAATAGAGTCCACCTTTTCTCAATCCGCTGCAAACACTGCTTGAAATCACTCTGTTATTTATATCAACAAAGAAAATTGCAAATTTAGTTTAATATTACTTAATTTAAGTAATTAATATATTTTCTATGATTAGTCTCATTAACATAATGGACCCAAGCCCGGAGATACATTCGTATAAATCGTTTTGAATTTAATATTGCTAGAAAAACGTTCGATGGAAAAATATAAAGGTAAGTGATCACAGAAAACCAAGTAGAGTGAGTAGAAATGACAGCTACAGTTTTTTGACCATATTTGCAAATATATATATATATATATATATAAGTAGATTAGTAATTCTTGAATTTAACAGTGTAACAAATTTAACAGTAGATAATTGTGTAACTATATTCAGAATATTAAAAAAAAAAGAAATTCATTCAGTGTAAAACATTTCTGTATAAATAAATAATTCTTTTCCTGTTTCTTATGCTTCATCATGGAAATTGTTAAAAATATTTTCAGAAAGCGTGGGTTTTGGATTTTAACTACACTTTGCACTAAATATGGATGTATACATTATACAGGGTGAATTGCTACTCGTGCTACAAACTTCTCCAGTAGATTCTTCACCCTAAAATGAACAAAAAAGTTCATATTGTCCATGGTCCGATTCTCAACCATTTCAGAGTAATTTCGCTTTTTATCGATTTTGAAAGATATCACGTCCTGGCGTCGGAAAATCGTGATATCTTTTAATCTAAACATTTCTCTTAAAATCTATAAGCACCGTTGAAATCCCCGTTAATTTTTAGAGAGAATCAAAATCATAATTCCATTGAAATTTTTTAATTTAATTTAATGCCCATTTAGTATGTAATGCTTAAGAAGTTTACAAACAGCTAGAAGGTCAAGGAAGAAAGACCCAAACGTTTTGCCACCTTCATCTTCTTATTGAAAAATTAACGGGGATTTCAACGGTGCTTATAGATTTTAAGAGAAATGTTTAGATTAAAAGATATCACGATTTTCCGACGCCAGGACGTGATATCTTTCAAAATCGATAAAAAGCGAAATTACTCTGAAATGGTTGAGAATCGGACCATGGTCAATATGAACTTTTTTGTTCATTTTAGGGTCAAGAATCTACTGGTGAAGTTTGTAGCACGAGTAGCAAGTCACTCTCAAACATTAGCAATCCTTGAACCACCATTTTTTCTCTTTTTGTCATCAACATCTTGGTCTCACAACCACTAAATAAGAAAATGACGAGTGCGTTGGAAGCGTTATTAAATCAGGTAGTTTTCCTCAAATTTGCTGCCTTCTGAGACTAAAATTAGAAACTCTGGATTACTTTATACACTTTCCGATTTACACAATTTTCCACTCTTTTTGTAGTTCTGGCTGAAATAAAACACAAAAAATTAGCCCAAACATTTTGCCACCGTCATCTTCTTATTGAAAAATTAACGGGAATTTCAACGGTGCTATTAGATTTTCAGAGAAATGTTTAGATTAAAAGATATCACGATTTTCCGACGCCAGGACGTGATATCTTTCAAAATCGATAAAAAGCGAAATTACTCTGAAATGGTTGAGAATCGGACCATGGACAATATGAACTTTTTTGTTCATTTTAGGGTGAAGAATCTACTGGAGAAGTTTGTAGCACGAGTAGCAATTCACCCTGTATATATAAGTTACGTCTCCGTTTTAATAACGAGACTTCTTTTAAACATTACTTATCTCAGTACTTCGGAATGTATGGACTCAACAATTGCCCCTTCTTTCAATTGTTCACTTTAGATAAGCTTGTTATTCGTAGTTAGTTACAGGACAGTTAACGGACAGTTAAGATCCTAATATTTAATTGTTATAGAATAATCTAGACCGTGAAAAGGAAAGTTATTCTCTGTAACCATTGTGTGTTATTTGGTAATAAAGATTCTTTTTAAAAAAATCTTTCGTCTAAATCTCGCACATAACTGGCGCAGTCGGTAGGACACTTTTCGGGTTCGATGAATACGAACTTTACCGTATTAACAGTTAGAAAATCCTAAACCTCGTTCATCGGGAACATCCAACTCAAGAACATCAGCGACTACTCAGAAATGATTGAAATTTTGTGAGTAAATAAATTGTATCGCATGTTATAAAACTCTTGGCTTCACAATTTAATTTAGCAATTATTTTTATTGTTATTGTAAAATTGTTTAAATTTTTTATAATATTACTATTGTTATTCTTAATACTAACATGGCTAACTTGGCAGAACTAAGATTTATTTTGGATGCCATCCTCACTTATGATGGCAACCCAAAGGCACTAACACAGTTTATTATGGAGGTTGAAGAGGCGCAACATATCGTTTCCGAATTAGTACCTCCAATATCAGACCCTCAGAAAACTATATGTTTTATGCATATTAAATGTAAATTACTAAATAAGGCCAACGAACATTTAAGAAATTTAAATTTCCAAGATTGGTCAACATTAAAATCACAATGTATCTACAATCTATTT